GTGTGTGTGTGTGTGTGTGTATGTGGTGTGTGTGTGTGTGTGTGTGTGTGTGTGTGGTGTGTTGTGTGTGTGTGGTGTGTGTGTGTATGTGTGTGTATGTGTGTGTATGTGTGTGTATGTGTTGTGCGCGTGTCTCTGTGCGTGTGCGTGGGTGCGAGTGCGTGTGCGGGTGTGTCTGTGCCTATAAGCATGTGTATATGCGTGTGTATATGTGCATTTATAAGTATGAGTATAGGTGTATATAAGGATATATGTACTGTATACGAATGCTTATATGCGTGTGTCTATGTGTATGTGTGTGGCTATATGTGTGTGTATCTGGGTGAGTATCTGTGTGTCTGTGTGTATCTGTGTGTCAGTGTGTATCTGTGTGTCTGTGTGTATCTGTGTGTCAGTGTGTATCTGTGTGTCAGTGTGTATCTGTGTGTCTGTGTATCTGTGTGCGTAAGTGTATACGTGCATGTGTGCGTGTACGTGTGTTCAGTTGTGTAAGCACATTATAATAATCTCAAGCCCTCTTTTCCAATTGCAAATAAAGTCAAACCCTGAGTCACACGCGGTAGATAGAGGAGGAAGACCCAAAAGCAAACCAAGGAATAAAGCTTCCAAAAAGGCCCTTTAAACCCCCAAACACATCCCAAAGGTCAGCGCAGCGAAGGACTTTTCCGACAAACGAGGAGCCGTTTACCTTTCGGGGAGAAGAAGGACGTGAAGCCCATCACCTCCTTCAGGCGCTCCATCTCCGGCGTCAGCTCTTCTGCAATGTGAAATGTTTTTTTTTTTTTTTTTTTTTTTTTTTATAAGCTGAAAATACGTGCGCACACACACAACACACACACACACACACCACACACACACACAACACACACCACACACAACATACACACACACCACCACCACCACCAACAACAACAACAAATAAAAGTATGGACAAAATATCTCAAAATATCCTGCCATACCCACCCTCCCTCAAGGGCGACCTCTGCCGCGAGAACGAGCGCTGGCCCTCGTAGACGCGGCTCCACGGGTCGCGCTCGCGGGCGCCGTACTCGTGCTCAGGCGGCGTGACGTCACTCCTGAGGCGGAGGCGGAAGTCGTCGCCGCCGCGCACGCGCATTCGCCGGTCTCTCTCGCGCTCTGTCGACGTCGGGGGGAGCGAGCTGGGGGAGGGGGGGACGATGGGTTGTTTTCTCGTTTTACTTGTTTTTTCAGGTTTAAATATCTCATTGATACAATTGTCGACTTCCTGGATTTAACCATAAGAACATATCCAACAATAACTGCAGCTTAATTACTACTGTTCCAAATGGTGTTTCTATTATTATCATACTATTTCAATTAAAGCAAACGGGTCGCTGATGCGTAACACGCACGCACGCACGCACACACACACACACACACACACACACACACACACACACACACACACACACACACACACACACACACACAACATACACACACACAATAAATAATAATAATGAATAAATAAATAAATAAGCAGCAACATCGTGTGACACATATCACACCGATTTGAGACAACCCCTTAGAAACAACACACGCACAGGAGTCAAACACTCGCAAATCCTTCGAGGACTCACCCAGACACCGGCGGCGTCTCCAGCAGCGAGAGGTACCAAGGGCGCCGCTGCTTGATGTGGAGATGGTCGAGTTTCGCGGCCAAGTCGTCTGTCGTCGCCGATCCCGCTTTACTCGGACTCCCTAGGAATCAGAATCAGAATCAGAATCAGAATCAAAATCAAATCACTCACTAGGGAAGGATGGAAGGAGGAGAGAATATTCAGTGTAAATCAGGTAAGACTGAAAGAAATACGGTTAAATTTACTTTTAATTTCGCTCAGTGTTTTGTATGCACTAGATGAGGTGATACGTAAATATATAATAGGCCTACTTAATATATGTTGTACATGTAGTGGCACAATACAAATACACACACAAAAATACATGCACGTCGCTCGCACACGCACACACTTTTTTCACGATGAAAATGAAAATACTACCAAAATTTCAAACAACTTCGTAATATCACCATACCAATCAAAACAACAGTAACGCAAAATCATAAAAGGCATACAGGCTCATAAGCAATTAAACATAAACACACTCCACAAAACAATAAACAAAAACCTCCCATTTTTCCCCACACTTTGCAACGTCTTATCCGCGAGGTCAGAAGTCAGCATGGAGTGAGGCGGGGTCACGTGACCAGCCGGGTTATGAGGTACGCAATTCGAGTTTGACCTCGTATCGGCCTGGCTTGGTTTTCGCTCCTGCTTGACAAGGGCGTGGCTTGGCTTCGGATTCTCCATTCTGAAAGTCAGTTCCTTTGAATGTTGAGTCACGTGATGTTGATGGCAACTGTAATACTCACCATCAAAACTGCACCATAAAGAGCAACATCAAACGTAAAGCAACAACAAAGTAACAGTGATAATAACATGTAGTAGTGATAATAATAGAATAAAATAATAATAATGATAATGATAATAATAATAATAATACAACAACAACAACAATAATAATAATGATAATAATAACAATAATTACAATTGATAATAATAATAATAATAATAATAATATAATAATAATAATAATAACTGATAATGACAATAATATAATAATAATAATAATAATAATAATAATATAATAATAATAATAATATAATAATAATAACAATAATGATACCAATAATAATAACTAATAATAACAACAATAACAACAACAATAACAATAATGATAATAGTAACAATAACCGTTAATATTACAGTAACCCTTGTGATAATAATTATGTTATTGATGCTACTAATGATGAAAATTATTTTTATTATAGCAATGTTGATAATAAAGTTATTGTAATATAAACGAAAAGGTTACAACAAAAACAACAATGATAATGATAATGATAATGATGATGATAATGACAATAATAATAATATCGTTATTATCAGTAATGATAATATCTTTATTATCAATAAAAATACCAATATCAATAACAATAATAATGATGATAATAGTAATGATAACAATAATAATAATACATAACGACTACCAAATAAACACAAGTGAGAACATTACCGTTATATTATAAACCATTCCCCACGACATAGTGCATTAAAAGATTAATCTCGAAATGAACCACAGACACAAATATGAAAATCAACCTATTCATGTGAAAAGATATTTCACACACACACACACACACACACACACACACACACACCACACACACACCACACACACACACACACACACACACACACGCGTCTCATTCACTTTTCATATCACTAAATTTTCACAAATATACATCTAGAAGGGGTCCTCGGTTTACGACGGTCTCGACTTACAACGTTTCGTGGACATGACGCTAGAAATCATATACAGTATTTACAGTTTGTCTTCCATGTGTTCCTTTAGCCCTAGTTGTTTTCATGTGTCATAGAAGTGTCTTGTTATGTTTTAGCTTCTGACTTTAATACATGTATACATATTGCATTAGCATATGTGAGTGTCTTCGGTGCTAATGTACGTACATGAACTGTATTTAGGTGTATTCCGACTTATGTCAAAATTTGGGTTACGACGCCATCTTAGGAACGGGATCTCCGTCGGAAGTCAAGAACCCCCTCTAATTTAGTTATTTCCTCAACACAGGGGCGCCATTTTGGGGGGCTATGTTTGGCCCCCTCAAGGTCTAGTTTGCCTTCCCCTTCCAAAGCGCTACAATTATTTTATTTTTAAAAACTAAGTTATACCTATATAGGCCCGGTCGTAACTTAAAAAAATACCTCTAGAATATCTAGTTCTCCTATATTTTTCCCCCACCAACATGAGAAAAAATTGGAAATGACTAAAACGTAACATTTTAATTATATTTCAACTTCAACAATCATTTCAACAATTTATCAAGCTCTGACTTTCGAAATGCTAAAAAAGTAAAGTAAATAATTCACGAATCATCTTGAATAAGCCTATATTGCAGAATATATAATTATATATATATAATATAATATATATATTATATATATATATATATATATCAACTACAAGTGGTTTATTCTAGTCTATATTTAAAAAAAATCTAGTACACGCAGCTTCTTGTTAAATCGATTCATGGCAAAATATAGACAATAATAATATAATATCTATAGGCCTATATACATACGCATACGAAAAGAAGCTGATATATACATAAAACATTTGACAAATCAATAAGTTAAGACTTTTGGTGAGTTTCCTCGAGGTAAGACCGAGAAAAGTCCGATTAATATCAGATTGTTAAACTAAAGGATTACAATTATAGTTGCCTTTCACTATTTCCTGTTTCAACTTAATTAGAAATAAAATTCCATGTTTTCCCATCAACAGATAGTTGACAAACAAAACATCACGTAAAGATATATCACATCAACTTTGTGAATGACAATGATCATGAACTAATATGAAATACAATGAATCATTACGCTATCAACATTTTTCCTTCTACTTTTACAAAAAAAAACATAGTCCTCTAACAAGTACTTTCTTAACTTACCATAAACACCTCCGGAATACCTGAGAGGAAAATAGATATGCTATTAAAAAGGACACGCTCATTACAGCAGTAACTGACAGAGGAAAATCAAATTTGTCATCATCCTCTTTCTTACGCGTTCCAACTGACTGTCGACGCGTTTCTCTCACTTCTTTACCATTCGTTTTATATCGACGCTTTGCTATTTTTGTATACATAGAATGATTATAGAAGCTGTAAATAAACTTTGTGTTGTGTTTTGATATTATGGTTTATACATGCTATGTTCATATACGTATGTTGCGTGTATACGTTTAACTCGTACACACACACACACACACACACACACACACAACACACACACACACACACACACACACACACACACACACACACACACACACACACACACACACATACATACATACATTTATATAATATATATATATATATATATATATTATATATATATATATTATATATATATATATATATACGTATATGTGTTCATATAGACAGATAAACAGAAAACAGAGAGAACGAGGGTAGAGTGCCACATGGACGGCCTATAAAAGTTATACTTAATTGTTTACCCTAATAAGCATTGTCCCATCTTGCAGACTGTAGTAGGATGTTACTGCGTTAACAAATAACTACTTGTTAATTTAGCGAATGCAATCATGCGTAAGTTGTTTTTTACTCCTTGGAAACTTATCGGCGGCTTAGTAAGCGGAATCCGTAGCACAAATTCCAGGACTAAAAATTACCAAAATAAAAGGTATGTGATATCCAAAATAGATTCGAAACACATGACACCCCTCAGAATTAAATGCGAATGAAGACAAAGTCATTTCCATGGATTCGGACGTATTGTTTATAAACAGAGAGGCGGCCGAAGAAGTTAACAAGTAATTATTTTAACACAAAAGTCCATCATGGCAGATAGTGAAGAGGAAATCGACTATATGTCAGAGGATTTTCTGGCGCAGTGGTATGTTGCTTATGATTAGGTGTAATATGGTAGTTGTAACACCTAGTGTTATGTTATTATTACAGATATATGAAGGTTTTTCATAATGTTTGTCATTGTCATGGATTATTTCTGAAAATTAAAAGAAATTTAATTGAGGTTATTGCATCGGAATTAGAAGAGGTATGAAGAAATACAACAGCTTTATACAGGATAAAGAAGATTAAGATAATTACGTGCAACAGGACAGCATCAAGAAATCCCATAACACACCTTGAGCTCCAGCAAAGGCTACCTGTCCTCCATCACATATATTCTGATGAAATGGTCTTTGGAATTGTATAGAATGATTACGTTGATACAAACTAAGATACTTTTCGTCTATGGGATAAGGTGCGCAAATCAAAAATAAAAGAGATACATGACAGACAAGAGAGATCAACCCATCTTTGCAAGCCTTATTTACAACATGAATGTTTAATTTACTACTGCTTAACTCATTCCTGTGGTCTTTCAAGTAGCTCATGTATTACTATATGCTTGTGAAGACAATAATTTTGTAGATTTCCACACCTGATTTTCCTAATTTATGTATTTTATGCCTTCTTTTACTTTTAGTCAACTTTATTTATCTGTTTTGATAGTTTTACGCTATTCCTTACAAAAACTTAATGTGCATTTGTGCTATCTTTTAAGACTAGCAACTGCCATTCCTTGACAAAAAGTTGGTGAGGAATGTTTCGTTTTCAGCGTTGCATCGATTCTAGGTCCTTTGTAAAACCCTATAGTGGCTTGGCAGAAGAAATAGACCTTAGCAACTATCACAGTTTGATATGTGACCCTGGAAATTGCCCTTAATTGCTGTAAAAAGTGCTTAGAAACCAAGCCATCCAGAAAAAAGTCTGAAGCAAAGGAAAGTTTGGTGTCTTGAGATATACAGGTGTTTGGTTTATTCTTTGAGGTATGTATGCAGCTCTATCTTGCTGTACAGGAATATTTCCTGGGGGGTGTTGGGGGAAAAATTGGGTAGAGTGAATTCCTGAAGAATTTACCAAAAGGTGGGTTGGATTCCTGTATTTTTTTTTATTTAAGTTAGTCCCTCAATCTGTAGACTTTCAAAGGTGGCGGACATGTCCATATAGTTTTATTAGTTAATTTGAAGCGTTTTTCTTGTGCTGGTTTTATGCTTTTTTTCTCTCTCTCTATTCTTATTTTAGCTTGATTTACCCTATAATTTCTCTGATATACATCCAGAGTGCCAGCTGTGATTGCTACAGAAATGGTCATCAGATTCGTTCTCGACACATGAATAAATCTGTTGATATAAATATTGTCTGGGAAGTGCTGCTTGTAATTAACGGTAAAATAACCAAAATTGTTTTACGGAAAGCCCCAAAACCCCTACATTCTTGGCCCCAATAGCAGGGGAGGGCATGAAAGCTACCAAGGAAATTGTGGATTGAAATGTAAATATACACAGAATCAGTCACAAATTTGTCTAATGTAGGGAGCACTAACAGTCCCCCTGCAACCCCCCATGGGGGAGTGCCACTCACTAACCCTCTGCCCAGGAAAACAAAAAATCCTCCATGTATTCATAGCAGGAGAGAGCATTGGACAGACTTGTCAATACTGCTCCCACATGGCGGTCATACACTTTCTCCTTACGTGAATGCATGGAGGGTTCTTTGATTTCCTGGGTGAGGGTTTTTTAATGCATTAAACATATATTATATTATTTATATTATACCCAGATTTTCCATCACATCTTTCATGCCCTCCTCTACTTTAGGGGCCAAGAATGTGGGGGTTGGCAGGGCTTCCACACAATAAAACCTATATATTTGCATTGTAGACAGTGAGAGGAATCTAACAGTACCAAAATTGTTGGTATCCAATATGGAGACGTATTACAAAAATTAACCATACTAATTGCTGCCCGGTACCACCAGGTACTGCCTGGTGCTAAGAAATTCACTACCCAGTATCTATAAATGCATGATTTGTCTTTTTTCTTTCACATAAATTTCATGTTTTCATGATAATCCGTCCTTATATGTATTTTCAGGTCATTTCATGGTCGATTAGATGACATTTTAACCTGCCAGTTTATGGCTATACTGCATCAGGTATCCGGTCACCATGTTTTGTTTGCGGCACTGGAACTTGATAATGTGAAAGGAATTTAGAGCCTTAGCTATAAACGCATTATTTTCCGGTTTTTGTCTTATATGTTCTTATGTAATCATGTTATTCTTATAGTTCAGATCAGCTTTGAAAGAGTGATGGGAAAGTCTCATAACTAACATATGATAATAGATTATCTTGATAACATGAAATTTTAAAGAAAAAAAAGATAGATAATGCATTTATTGCTATCAGGCAGTAGATTCATTAACACCGGACAGTCCCAGGAGTTACCACACAGTAATTAATATGACTCTTTGGACTTTATTTGATGTTAAGTCATAACAGAGTTTACAATTTTCATCCTGTTAAGATATTTATTGTGTAGGATTAATGACTATTGCATGAACATAAAGAGTGGAAGCAATGTTTAGATGCTAAGATTTTGATATAAGTGCTTGCATTAACTATGAGACTGCAGATTTCATTTTGTACATGTGTTTTATGCGTTCATTATGTCAGTTTTTTTCTTTCTTTCTTTCTTTCTTTCTTTCTTTCTTTTCTTTTTTTCCTTTTTCTTGAAGACCTTTATGTAAATCAGTACTGACTTATGATTTTTTATGTAATATACCTTCATCAATAGTTAAATGAAATATTGAATCAGTAGTGAAATATTTTGCATTGTAAAATTTTCCTTTCTTTCAGGTTCATATCATTTTCTCTATTTTCCAGTATAAATAAAATTAATTATAGATATAGGTTATTTTTCAGTATACCTTCATATAACCATTTGTGACGATTTTGATATCAATGGATTCCTTTCACTGTCTACAGTTCAATTATATTGAAATTATGCTGTTGAAACATCCCATTAGCGACAATCTTGGCCCTGCTAGCAAGAGAGGGTATGAAAGGTACTAGGAAATTGCAGGGTAAAATATGAATGATATACACAATAACACTATACAGTGAACCCTCGCTATAACGCGGTTCACCTTTCGCGTTCTCGCAGCTTCACGGATTTTGCATTGTGCATTGTGTTCTGCATTCTGACTGGCTAAACAGTCTCTCCGCTTCTTCTCTATCTGTGTCAATAACGTTATGGTTTAATATGTACATGTACGTAAAACAGCCTGCCAAATTTAAGTTTGCAAATTTTTCTAAAACCCATGAAGCCTTCAGTTCATATTGATGATTAAAATTATTATTTTTCTGTACAGTAGTTATTTGTAAAAAACATTTATACAGTACTTTTATTTGTTAAACAAATGCTTGGGCCTGTAAAAAGGTTTTGTTCTTTGGTTTCAATGTATTGCAGTGTATTTCACTGTATAATAATTGTTAAAAAAAATAAAGGTTACTACTTCACGGATTTCGCCTATCACGGGTTCTTTTTGGAACGTAACCCCCGCGAAAAACAAGGGTTCACTGTATTGTCTAATGTAGCGTTCACGGCCCCCTACAACCCTTGAAATGAAGACAAAAAATCCCTCCATGTTCATTGGAGGGTAGAGTGTATGACCGACATGCAGGAGTGCCCCATTCTCTATTCTGCTGTGAATTAGTAGAAGATTCTTTGTTTTCCTGGGCAGGGGGAAGGGGCAGTAGCTCTCCAAGGATGGGGCTCGCAGGGGACACAGCCCTCTGCATTCAGCAATTAAATGAGGTATTATGAATTTTATGTTATTATATTATTGTTAGGTTATCCCACAGTTTCCCTAGTACATTCCATGCCCTCCCTGCTATTGGGGCCAAGAGTGTGGTGGTTTGGGTGGGTTCCACAGCTTAATTTCTATGTATATGTGTACAAGAGGGGGAGAGGAATCCATTGATATCAAAATTGTGGAGATCAGTTATGGGAAGATATTGTGAAAATTACCTAAAGATACAGTTAGCCTTAGAGTCTAATCTAATCTGGTCTAGCATAGCACTTGTCAAACCATAATACATCTAGTTTTATCTGGTTTAGCCAAGCAAACACCTCTTAATGGGTAATTGACATATCTTGTTTAAGCGGAAAAGTAGACCATAATACCAATTTATTGATCATACATTAAGGTTTAACAACCCATTTTTTCCCTATTTCCTTAGCTTGCAAAAAAAGCTCTCACTGAAAAAAGAATCAGGGTACAACAAATATAATTTAACCTTTATCCATATCTTTCATTTTACTTGTTTTTTCTTGTTCATATTTTCACAGATCATAATTTTCCTCTCTCTTTTTTTATTTATCTATACCTTTTTTTTCTAGTGTAGGTAATAATGATGTACGTCCTGGCTTGCTGTTTTCACACTCATCAAAGAGGAGTGCTCAAATTGAGAAACAAAGAAAGAATAAGAATGAATCAAATCGTGAACGATTCAAACCTGTGAAACAAGTCCAGCAAGAACGGTTGCAAGAAGGGCTTAATACAGCGTTGGACTCCTCAAACAAAGGGTTTGCAATGCTTCAAAAAATGGGATATAAGCCTGGATCTAGTCTTGGAAAGCAAGGTATGTATTTTCCTTCTAAACTGAAGAATAAGACATATCTTGTAAATCATATTGATTTGAGACTGAAATTATGGCTATTTGTTCATGCTAGGTTTGCAGGATATACCCTAAATTGAAATGAATCATTTTACATGAAATAGTATTAAAGAAAGGCAATATATTCTGGGAGATTCATACATGTATATAAGATATAATGTGCAATCATAATTCACAGAAAGTGCTAATTCCTAGCCATTTGGGTATAATTACTATGATCTATAGACTTTTCTTTTTTATTTTATGTGGCACTCATCTTTGTGCCTAAAATGTGCTTGATATTAAACCCTATTTCATTCATGTACCAATAAAGAAAAGGTAGCTTAAACAGCTATTAAGTGAGAGAAATTTTCAGAATCACAAATACAAGATGTCGCCAGGTCAAGGGAAGTCATATTTTCAACATTTTTAAATTTCAAGCTTTTTGAGTAAAGATATTTTACTTTTTAAGGCCAGGGAAAACTCGAACCAGTTGCTGTGGAGCTGAAGGCAGACAGAGTTGGGCTGGGATGGCAGGAGATGATTTCTGAACACAGAAAGAAGCAACAGGAGATAAAAAGACAAAAGCAAGAAAAACATAAGAAAGAAATAGACCCAGAGCAGTTCAGGTTAGTTATGAGATGTAAACTTATTATAGTGTATGAATTTCATTTATCGTAAGATTTAATGCCTTTATTCCTCAAAAAGCTTACAGCACTAATTATATTATATTGCATTCTTTTTCATGGAATTTTGCATTTTCCCCCAGAATAATAGAAGCCACTTTGCTTTATGGATCCAACAGGAAGTTTGTGGTTTTGCAAAAAATATATGATTTTTAATCTTTACAATTCAAGATCCTCAGAAAAAGGATCACAGGATTTACAGTGGATCTGGAGGCAGTTGCTGTTTGAGCATCTTACAAGAAGGAAGCACAACTGAGAATTTTTTCATTCTAAGCATCCCTGGACAAGTAGCCCAAAAGCCATCCATGGCTGAACTGTCAAAATGGGCACTGATAGGTTCAGACCACAGGACAGTCTGGCTTCCTGATATAGCACCAGCAGGAAAATTACCTTATCAAACTGTTTAATGAAACTTTTATAGTTTTTTCAGGGTACTCCCAGAAGACTCTCCACAGAGCTGCTACCTTTGAAACGACTTCTAGTTGGGCTCACCATAGGCTTCATAATGCACACCATCACTTTTCTAGACTTATTAACTTTCAGAATTTCTTCTGGAAGCACTAAAGCTGCAGATTGTCAGATGCAGATGGTTTCAGGGCAATACTGATAAGTCAAGGTTTCATCACATCTAACGGAAGTGCAGATCCCTCTGAGCCCCTTCATTGAACTAGTATTTCAATGAAGTCCATTTCTGCTCCAGAATGAGGGCGCAGGAGACCCAGTGTTTCAGTATCTTAATGATGATCCCTTTTCCTGTTTCTTAATCTCAGAAACATATCTGGAATCCTTTTGCATGAGCGTCTGGACTAGTGTTCTCTAGAGGGACAATTGTTCTTGAGTGCCCTTCCATCTGTTTGTCCACAAGAATTCCACAAGTTTTAGTGACAGATCTTTGTACAGAAGGGTCATCAGGCTCCAAAAGCCAGTTAAACTTATTCAAGTGATTACTGCTGATTTGGGTCATACAAACAGTTCAGAAATTCTGCCAGGTGCATTACCGTTGTCCTGGAACAAGTGTTTCACCCAGTCTGAATATGATTGAATGAGCACAGATTTTGTCAGCAGTGCAGGTAGAATTAACCCTCATGTTAAAAGAAATTAGATAAAATATTGAAATTATAGAAAGGAAATTGCCATTATGAGAGTACTGCATTAGACATTATGATGAATTGTCATCTCCAGCAAATATCAGGGATTTTGTTAGTAATGTAGTTTGTAACAATTTTATTTCTCACGGATTTTTATACATATTTGATCCCTGCTGCTATTTTAGATGTTTCCATTTTACATTGATTTTATTTTCAGAGCTAGGATGCGCAGTCAGCAGCAAGAAAAGTTGATCAATGCTGATTTGATGAAGAGTCAGCGAATCTGCCATCAGATGGACTCGAAAGCTGTAAGGCTTTCTATTTATTTTGTGTAAACAATATTTATAAGGTTACAAGACAAGTAAATAAAAAAAAATTAAAGATCTTTTTATAAATTTTTTTTTGGGGGTAGAGATTTATACAGCTGTGAACTAATTTTTTAAAGTTTTAATTTACTTCTTTCCATATTTCTTTATTTCAGGAATTAACTGAACCTGTGGAACCATGGTTCTGGCCAAAGTATGTGTTGAAGAAGGAAGGTGAGGAAGATCAAGGAGAAGAGGAAGAGGAGGAAGAGGAATAGAATTTGAGGTTATATAAGTGTTTTCTCTTTTCATCTCATGCTCCTCCTTTTTATTATTAATATTTTTTATTGTGTGTGTGTGTGTGTGTATATATATATATATTATATATAATATATATATATATATATATATATTATATATATATATAATATATAATATATATATATATACATAAACTGGGTACTTGCGGTTCCAGGCTAAACTGAGGGGGATCTCGGAGCAGCAGGAGGCCCCAGAGGTTCAGGGCCATGGCCCACCGGCGTGTGGACACGCCCTGGCCCTGTACCAACTCCTGCCCCCTAGCCCCCTGGGTTAATGGGAGGCTCGGGGGAGGTGGGCCTTGCCAGTCCTCCTCCCCCAGATATAAACCAATCGGCAGTATTATAAATGGAAGGCTGGGAGGAGGGGAAAAGCCCTCCCACCCAGCAAGTGAGGCGGACTGTGGGCCCTGCTGGGAGGGCGACTGCTGGAGCGCAGGCTGGGAACGGGAACTACCCGTCTCGCCTGCGCTCTGGTGGCCGCCAGCCCAGAGTGAAGCTTGTGGGGGAAAGCCCTCGGGAACCCCACAGGTGGATGATGGGGCACGCAGCCCGCCACCCCCTTTTATATGGGGCAGCGTCGGTGGGGGTGGCAGAGGTGGCATCCACCCGGAGCGACTGCCAGAGGCTGAACCTCAGGCGGGAAGTTAGGGTGTAACGGATGATCGGTTGCCTCTACTGTCGAGGGAACTGGGGAGGCTGAGAGTTGAGGTGGCTGCTCTCTCGGAGGTGAGGAGGCCTGGCAGCGGCATGACCTGTGTAGGTGGCTACACCTATTACTGGTCGGGCCGCAGCGATGGCCACCATCTCCAGGGAGTAGCCATTGCCATCTCCAGCAGACTCCAGCCCTCGGTAGTAGAGGTTACTCCTGTTGATGAGCGTATAATGGTATTGAGATTGAAGCTTTCTTTTGGCTTCATGTCTCTTATTGCTGTGTACGCTCCTACCGATGTTTGTAAACTTGACGTGAAAGAGATGTTCTACGCCAAACTTACATCTGTGGCAGACAGATGTCCCCGACGAGATATTCGCATTGTTCTGGGCGACTTCAATGCGGTATCTGGCTGTGATCGAGCTGGCTATGAGATGTCTGTCGGTCCCCATGGTTCAGGAGCTGATGCCGGTAGCGAGAATAGCCTCCTTTTCCGGGACTTTGCTAGGTCCCAGAAATTGAGGATTTCTGGCTCCTGGTACCAGCGCCCAGACCCACATCGCTGGACATGGTACAGTGATGCGGGTAACGCAGCCAAGGAGATCGACCACATACTTGTTAGCACTCGTTGGAGGATCCTTCAGAATTGCAGGGTGTACAGGAGTGCTGAGTTCTGTGGTACTGACCATAGATTGGTTGTGGCTACCCTCCGGGTCCACTTCAAAACCCCCAGCGGTCAAATGATCACCCTAGGGTGTTTCATTTGGACAGGCTGAGGGAGGGGGAGTGTGCCCGCGGTTTGCTGAGGCAATCTCTGATCGTTTCGCAGTGCTTGGCAGTCTGACAGACCCTGTTCTTCTGTGGGATACCTTTAAGCGTGAAACGCTTGATGCAGCTCAAGATACGATTGGTGTACGCCCGAGAGCAGTACAGAATTCCATCTCGCGGAGACACTGGAAGCCACAGATGCATGTCGTGCGGCTCGTCTGACAGGGGATCGGGAATTGCACCGTTCTCATGTGCGCAGAACTCGGTCCCTGTTAAGAAGGGACAAGGAACAGTTTATTAGGAGTCTTGCAGAGGAGGTAGAAGGCCATTTCTTAGTAAATGACCTTCGTCCTGCATACCAAGCCCTGAGAAAGCTGAACTCTTCACAGGTGACAGCAGTTCGCTCAGTAAGTGGTCAGATCGTTTCAGATCCTGTTGCGGTGCGGGGACGTTGGGCTGAGTATTTTGAGCAGCTGTACCAGGTTGACCCACCAACAGTTAACTTGGATGCGGGTAGTGTCGAGATCCCGCTGCCGGATCCACCTATCAGTGAGGACCCTCCCTCCCTAACTGAAGTTAGGGGGATTTCCAAGCTGAAGAGTGGTAAAGCAGCTGGTATCTGCGGCATACCAGCTGAACTGTTAAAGGCTGGTGGTGAACCTATGGCACGGGGGTTACATGCTGTCCTGGCTGCCATCTGGCAGTCCGGTTCCGTTCCTCCTGACCTGTTGAGGGGTGTGGTCATCCCTCTCTGGAAGGGGAAGGGGGACCGTTGGGACTGCAGCAATCACCGAGGCATCACACTGCTCAGTGTACCAGGCAAGGTTCTCGCCCACATCCTTCTGAGACGTATCAGAGACCATCTACTGAGGCACCAGAGACTGGAGCAATCCGGATTCACTCCTGGTAAGTCCACAATAGACCGTATCCTCGCGCTTCGAGTCATTGTAGAGCGCCGTCGTGAGTTCGGGCGTGGGCTGCTTGCAGCCTACATCGACCTCAAGAAGGCGTTCGATACGGTGCATCGGGAGTCACTTTGGGAGATCCTGAGGCTGAGAGGAATACCAACAAGGATTATTGGACTAATAGCAAGCCTGTATACTGGTACTGAAAGTGCTGTAAAGTGTGGTGGGGGCCTGTCGAGCTTCTTTCCTGTTAGTTCAGGAGTGAGGCAAGGCTGTGTCCTTGCACCAACTCTTTTCAACACTTGCATGGACTGGATACTGGGCAGAGCTACTGTTCAAAGTCATTGTGGGGCAACGCTGGGCAATATCAAGGTTACAGACCTTGACTTTGCTGATGACGTTGCCATTCTATCTGAGTCTTTGGAAACCCTAGTGGCGGCTCTCGATGCATTTAGCAATGAAGCGAAGCCCCTGGGTCTAGAGGTCTCCTGGACCAAGACCAAGGTCCAGGAATTTGGGGACTTGTTAGGAGAACCTGTTCAGTCGGTACGTGCTTGCGGCGAGGACATTGAAGTCACAGAGAGCTTTACATACCTTGGTAGTGTAGTTCATAACTCTGGGCTGTCAGACCATGAAGTCAGCAGACGGATTGGCCTGGCAGCAGGGGTCATGAACTCTCTCAACAAGAGTATTTGGAGATGTCGGTACCTGTGCAGAAGGACCAAGCTACGGGTTTTCAAGGCCCTGATAATGCCAGTTTTGCTATACGGTAGCGAAACCTGGACATTGTCCTGTGCCTTGGAGGCTCGTCTTGAAGCCTTTTGTAATAGGTCCTTGCGCCAGATCATGGGGTACTGTTGGCGGGACCATGTGTCCAACCAACGGTTGCACCGTGAGACTGGCACAAGCCCTGTTATCTGCACAATCCGTGATCGCCAACTCAGGCTATACGGCCACCTGGCTCGCTTTCCTCAGGATGATCCTGCCCATCAGGTCGTCTCTATTCGAGACAACCCTGGTGGAGGAGGCCTGTGGGACGACCGAGGAAGTCATGGCTTGGGCAGATCGACCAAACCTGCCGTGAAGAACTAGAGATGGGCCGAGTCCCTGCCTGGCGTCTAGCCATGAGGGATCCTCGTAGGTGGAAGCGAAGGGTGGATGCGGCTATGCGCCCCCGTCGGCGTCAGCCCCCTGATGATGATGATATATATATATATATATATATATATATATTATATATATATATATATATATATATATATATATATATATAATATATATATATATATATATAATATAAACAACATATATATATATTATACATATAGATAGATAGGTAGATAGATATAGATATATATATGTTACTCATTTCATGTGAAAATTATTTTCTATTTTTTATTTTTAAAGTTTGTCTAACATATATCTCCTTTCTATCTTCCACTTGTAGCCAGAAGAACAGTTGAACATCCTTACGGCATATCTCAAGGCAACTTATTGTTACTGCATGTTGGTGTGGAACAGTATATGATGATGAGAGAGACTTCAAGCAAAACTGCCCTGGGCCAACAAGAGCAGATCATGATGATTAATACAAGAATTCTTATTCTTAGTAAATGTGTAAATTTTTGTTTGAACTGATTGCTTCAATATTATTTTGTGGTTTTATTTATGTTATTTATTTATTGACTTGAGATTAGTGTAGAATCATCCATATTGTTTTGTACTGTATTGTTTTCATAACTTGGAAAAAAAAACTCATAATTATTTTGTTTTTGTTTTTGTTGAATAGGTGACTTTTAGCAAAGTAACTACTTCCAACAGTTATGGGCCACAATTTTTTATTAAGGGAAGCATAACATTTAGATGGAAGCATTCATTAAAGATGATAATTTTGTCGATAGGTCCCTTTAATCATTAACAAGTGAAAGAAAAGACATATGATGATTTTATCAGAATATCAGTTAGTGATATATGCATATGTACTTTAAGAATGAATACTTTTTAAAAATAGACCATGAAACCATGAAAAATGCGTATTTATATTGTACCCTAAGAATATCCAGATGTAAATATTCTACATCAGATATTTTTTCCATATTATACATGCACAGTTTACATATGTTGTAACTACTTCTGGGGATGTTGTATTACCTCTTACTGCTTATTCTTTATACCATGTTCTTGCTTCAAGGAATATAAACACAAACCTGGTGAAACAATGCACTCTTATATTCCACTACTTTTGTGAAGACTACTCTGAGCAAGCAAGATCAACAATCTTAGTTTGCTGAGTTTAATGCTGAATAGGGTATTTTTACTAGCCTCTCACAGTCTCTTTAATTTCACACTTGTTTATGCTCAGTTATAATGATATTTTATATGTCAGTCAAAACATTTATGAGTACTAGTAAAGATAACATATACAACCAAGGTATGAGTGTTTATGTGTATATATGTATATATATATATATATATATATATATATATATATATATATGTGTGTGTGTGTGTGTGTGTGTGTGTGTGTGTGTGTGTGTGTGTGTGTGTGTGTGTGTGTGTGTATGTATAATATATTATATTTATATAATATATGTATATATACATATATGTAATATATATAATATATATATATACATATATACA